TGTTCTTAAAAGATTTACCTTTAGATTTAGCATCATGCTTAATCTCATCACCACACTCACAATCATTATTTTGTTCAACAACTGCAGTGTCATCATGATTATACCGGCTTTCATTTGTAATTGCCGCAATTTGAGAGTTATCATCATCTACAGAATTTCTCTTACTCTCATCTTTTATAGCGGCAATTTTCGATTGAATTCGTTCATCCACCTGCTTTTGAAAGCGCGCATCGCCTTCATCGACTAAGAAAGGCAGAACATTTATTTCTTTCGGAACCATAGATGTGGCTACAGCTACAGACAATAAATATCTTGACTATGTATGAAAATTAATTGTCAAAATAATACGTTATATACACAAAGTCACCGCATGTTAAAGTACAAAACGTAAACTAGACAAAAAAGTCGTTTATTACAGAAAAACATAATAAAATTATTTGAAATTTGGACATTATATTTTTTGAAGAAAATAATTCATCATTATATTTGTATATATGATTATTTCTTACTTGCAATCAGACCATCACCCAACGGACTCGATGCAGCTTCGTTGCCTTTTTTTAAATCTGCTTCCATTTCCGCATTGAACTGTTCAAGTTGTTTTAATTCACGCTTTTCATCCTGCATTGTGCCAACTGAAGGATTCCATACTAAAGGTACTGATTTTGAACCTCCTATAATTAATGAGAAATAATTATATTTTAACTAGTGGGGTGCATGGCATCGTGCCTTAAGGCAAATTGCTGAAACTTCACGTACCGTAATTAAAAATCTTGGTACGAAACCCAAAAAAAAATTACACAAAATGTGTACACATTATTAAAATCTCTATAAAATATCTGATAATTTGGTGTGATAAACATTTTTGACCGCCAAATGACATTTTTTTGAGAGTCCATAACAGCTGGACCTGCCATCCCAAAAAATTAATCAGTTTTTAATCTTGTCAACACAAGTAAAATGTCTTATGAATTATTAAAATCGGACGCTCCGTTCTCTTCGGAACGGCTAGACCCGCTTTCGCAAAAACTAATAAGCACGTCTCATTATCAATGCGAATCGAATGTTTCTTGAATTATTCAAATCGGTTGATCGGTGTTCCCGAAATCGTCGACGAAAATTTGTATACGCAAAAACACACATACACACGCACACACACATCCATTTCTTCTAATGTTTGCCAAAATATTCAGAAACATTTGAAATGTATACGTTTTAAAAGATATATAAAAAATTATAAAGATGTATAAAAATTTACATTTGCGAAGTTACTCTTCGGGAAATTAAAAATGTTATACGTGCCATAATACACTATATTATTAAAAAAAAGGAAGCCCCAAAAACGTGTTATTAATTAATAAGTGTATGGATATGTTAATTTGTTTAAACTAATAAAAAATAAATTACCATGTTCGAGATTTTGATCATCCGATTCGAACAAATTAGATGTTTCAGCATCACTTGCCAATCTTTTTTCCAATTTCATTAAATTCATTCCCATAACACAATGCAATGTAAAAAATAATATAAATATTAGCAATATGCTCTTCATTTTGGCTCATAAGCGTTAAAACTAAAATATTAATACTGATATTAAAATATTATATAAATCATTAGTTAAAAATATTATTGAATTTTTATAAAGCAAAAAAATTGATGTGCACTTGTTTTAAAACATAGATATGCTTGAACATAATTGACAAATGATTGCGAAAAATTATCATATTTACAAATATGTTTTACTATCCATAAAAAAGATTTATTTTTCATCTAATTATAGTTCAGTTATTTATATCGGCTTAATTAGCTTCCCGTAAAGTATTTAATGGGCAAAAATAAAAAATAAATTTTTTTGCATATTTTTACGTTTTGAAATTTTCTGAACATTTTGGCATACCTCAGAAAAAATGGATGTGAGTGTTTTGTGTCCGCATTTTTTCGTTCACGTTTTCGGGCGCATGGATCAACCGATTGAAATGGTTCAAAAAACATTTGATTATGATTGTATTTCTATTGATAGGGAGATGTGCTGATTAGTTTTTGACAGAGGCAGGTTCAGCCATTACGGAGATACGAAGAAAAGAGTGCAGAAAATGGAATTCGAGTTTTCGAGAGAACGGATTATCTGATTTGAATGGTGCGAAAAACATTGATTAGGTTTTGGGAGAGGCAGGTCCAGGCATTCCGAAGATACAGAGATGTACAGACTAAATACACAAAAATGGCAGTTTTTGAGAGAACTAAGCATCCGATTTGAATGATTCAAAAAAAATCTTGTGTTCACAAAACAATTGCTTTTGGAAGAAAAAAATTGTATTAATTTTTTTTTTCATAAAAATGTTTGTGTATCGAAAATAATTCAGATTTTAATTTTGATTATGGCTGAAGTTTTAAAGCTTACTTGAAATAAATAATTTTAACTTTGCTATTCAGATTATATAATTCTTATATACATATATATTAACAATGTTAGAGTCCCAGTAAACCACAAACGTTCAATTAAGTTATAATATCGTAGCACAGAGGAAACGCCGTTATGTATTTGTTGGTTACGTTAATAAAACGTAAATGTTACGTAAAAATGTAGCCTTTGACCGGGCTCAACGTAGATATGACGTAGATACTTCTATGTGAAAACATTTAATATTCCTCGAACATTTCGTTACGGTACGGAAAGTTCCAGCAATTTGTCTTAAGGCACGATGCCATACACCACTAGTTGAATTTTCAAAATGCAAGCTCTATTTAGTAAACCGATGCGTTAGTATATAATATTTACATATATCTGTTCTTTGTAAATGTTCAACATTTTCTTACATTATTAAATAATTGTATTCAATGTAATTAATTAAAAATAATTTATGCAGTAGTGTATTTTATTGTGTGATATATTTTTTTACAAATTGTATGACAAAAATTTCAAAACATATTTAAAAAAACCGCCACTGGTTTTGTGAAATTTTACTTTGTTACGTTGGCTTCCTTGTATCTTGATACTGAACATCATGGGGAGTTATCTTCGAACAAATGCGCGTTGCACTGTTTTGGTCTTGAGTAGTGTCAATTTTTAAAAACAGATGGCTCATGTGTGCCAATTTCAAGTACAAATCGTTCAGCTTCGTGCAATTTGACACGCGAGGCTGTCAAGCGCTGTCAAGCATTTGATCCCTGTACGAATCGTACGAATAACCTAAAATTGTTTCTAATGAATTAATTGTGTTTAAGTGAACATTTAAGTGAAATTTAATATGGCAAAGTGTTTTTATAGTACCCAAAAAAGTGCCAAGTGCAAGTTAAAATATTCAGCTATTCCAATACCAGTTCCCGGAAAGTTATTTTTTTATAATAATTGCAACACTAATTATATATAATCAAATATGATATTTCAACATGTTATTATATTGAATAGGTGTATTGGGGGTACCTGCAAATTGCTGCAAAATATACTTACGAACAAAGCCTAGGAGCACTTTTGACAACTAAGGAATGCAAGATGTAATGACAAGAAGGATTCATTAACAATGCAATAATTTAAAAATTAAGTCATACAAATAATCTCCAAAGGCGTTCTATTTTTGAAGACAAATTTTTTGCCATGTCCTCAAACATTGAGAAAGTTGCATTCAGAGATACAATAGTCTAGCGGTATTAATGAGTGTCTATTTAAAACATTAGGTTCAGCTATTTCTCTTAAAAAGTATTAGTAGCAAATTCTGTGTTTTGATGTTTGATGAAATACCATTATCTTCGGAATTGTTATATGATTGGATTGAATCTCATATTGTTGATGTTGCAAAACAGTTATTTAGTATTGGTTTAAATGTTCATGAACATAAGTTCATTGTTATATTTAATAAGATATTATCTATTATATTAGCAAATGTAAACACTTATAAAGCGAGTCTATACCATACATAATATTTTGTGTTATAATAATCTTCAAATAAAACTTGAGCAACATCCCAATATAATGTTTAAATTCAAAATATATTTGTTACTGACCTTGTGAGTCAAAAATATTGCTTTTATCTTTCAATTCATGAACAATTGTATGTGCATAAAACATTTTGTTGATATTTTATGGTAATTTCAATGATAATGATTTCATAATGAAACATGATTAAATGTAATGTTATAAAACACCGATACAGAAACTATTCAAAGGTTTTGTTAAATGCAACTTTACTATTAATTCATTAGGTAGCAAAATAACTATTACATGCAGAATTAATAAAGAACAATGTCTCGTAAATGAGTTTTAATTCTAGGAATTTGGATTTCTCTCAATTTTGATATCAATATATATTTTATGTCTTTAGGACTTGTTTGCTTGTGAAGTATTTGTACTTTTTAACAAATTATCTGTTTTTTTTAACCTTCTAAATTTTTGTATTATTTGTCATTCCTTCTAACAATAAGTTTGATATTTCATCGTGTGCTTCTGTGCTTTTAGTTTCTTCTTAGTTTTTAAGTTTTTAATATAATAATATTAGTCCTTGAGATATTAATATTAGTCAGTTATTTCTGGTTAGTTAGTTAAATACCTCTGTGGTTTTCTCCACTTAGATCTTTAGTTTTTGAGATATTATTAAGATACTTATAAATATGTATAATAATTATATTTTCAAACATTCCATAGTTGTAATTATAATTGTTAATATAAACATAATTTTAATTGTTCTTTAAACATATGTAATATATTTGAAAATATATATTTTGTATTTCCTATAATTTATTCTTATTTCCAATATTAAAAATAATTCATGTTTTTTGGGCTGTATACGATACGTACAAATTTAGAAGTAATACCAGGGGTTAATTTAAATATTTTACATGTGCTGCCATCTATTTTTAAAAATTTGTATTTCAATCGAGGTAACGTCAAATCGCCAGACATAGCGATCTATTATACTTGATTATCTATGCTGAACATGTTCAAAAACGTCAAACAGTTGAGGTTATGGGTACGTCAGTTAATACTTTATTAATTGCTTAAAATGATTTATTCTATACAATAAAATAATAAAACATTATTGTAAAACAATACATCCAAAACGATTTTGTTATACGCCCAGCTATGGAGCAAGCACATACACAAACATCCCCATTGTAATAATATGTTTGCTGATCTGTTTCTAATTCTTGGTTCATTTTATTGTTTGCGTGAGCTTGAAGGGCTTTGTTTATTATTTCTAATAATTTAGGCTTAATGTCTCTGATGGGGACTTTCTTCTTTTTGGTAGAACGTAAGTGTTTATCGCACCTGCATACGCCATTCAACCAAATACCTATTGATAGAAATAGATTTACTATTTAATAATTAAAGATAATTTAGAACTACTTTGTCATTTTGCTGAGTTTACATTTTCATAATATACATAATATAAGTTATGGTTTTGTATGAGTTAACATTACCATCACAAATTTGATTATACACAACGGAATCAAATATGCTGTAAAAATTGAAATTAATCATAAAAGCCTTATACCAAGTACATTCTCTTTTTTGTGTTACCTAGGCGTATAACATCTGTTGTTTCATTATCTTTTGCTTTTCTTAATTTATATCCACCATTAGCTATTGAATTTGATGTTGTCGAGAATTCATCATTTTTTTCTGATTTAATATCCGTATTTTTTTCCATTTGCTATATAATGTTCAACAATTTTAAATTTATATAAATAGTAAGATTAGCACATTCATGTTATAATTTTATTTTAAATATTTTTTTTAGTACATCTATAATAATTGTGATACCTCATAATTGGTTATCGAGACATTCATATCTGTTTCATCTTCCAGGGGGGTGTTAATATTTTTGACATCTCTTATTAGTATACTTAACACAAACAATAAAAGAAATATCATAATTTATAATGCTTGTCATTTGATTTTCAATTGTTATTTACATTTAAGCAATTTATGGAAAGAAATCATGTTCATATATTTTGTATAACTTTTATTTATTTAAAAGAATCTATAATTATTATTTTATATAATCTTATACTTTTTAAAAAAATATTCAACAGGTTCAAAGATACAGCAACACCTAGGTTAAGTTTCCAATAATTTAATCCTACAAAATGAGATCGAAAAGTAGATCCAGGTCAAGATCCAAAATTAGAAATAGATCTCGATCACGCAGTCCAACAAGATTGCAAAAATCTTTTGATAGATCTAGAGATCAAAACAAAAATAGATATGTAAGAGATCGATCTTCAGAGAGATATGATAGAAGAAGAAAAGATTCAAAAAATGATCATTCAAGTAGGGACAGAAAAGACAAATTGCGAGATAGTTCTGAAAGAAGACATAGGGAAAGAAAGCAAAGAAGTAGATCCACATCAAAAAGCAGGTTTCAGAGAGAAAGAATAAATGAAATATCAGTTGCCTCTAAGCACAAGAACTCAGTAAATGGCAATCGAGATTCTTATGATAGTCATGCAAAAAATTCTACTCGATTAAATGAAGATAATGAGAGATGGCCCCATGACATGTATCAAAAGGATCATAGAAGTCATAGGAAGCATGGTGGGTCATATTTGTATATATAAATATAAATTGTAAATAGAGTTTTAAATAATTAAAACAACCTTATGTTTTTTATATATGGTAGATTCTTCATCATACAAACACCAAAACCAATTTGAAAAATTCATGGAAGCTCGGCGTATTGAAAGGGAAAATATAGGTGTTATGGGTGTAGCAGCTCTCTGGGGAAAATCTCCAGCAAGAGAAAGGTTCGATATTTTAGCAAAGTAGCAATAGTATAAATCAAAATTTATTCTATAGATTTTCTAAATGTTGAGAATAAAATAAAATGGAATTAACATAAATTGAAAAAAAAAAATTCACCATGTTGAGATTGTTTTTTTTTATATATATTTAAAAATTTGTGGAACAAACAGATAAACAGATCTCACTAAATGTTACAATACAAATGTTAAAGATTAATTTAGTAGATATGAAATAACAAAACTACTGAAACAGTGAAAAAAACTGTTTTTTATATGACTTTACATATTACTTACATCAATTTTTTTTTTATAATTTTTATGAAGGTGAGAGATAAAACTGCATTGCCTTTAAACATTCCTGCAATTGAATTCTTTTTATAGTTCTGATGAAGATGGGAAAAACAAGATTAAGTCAGAAAACTCTACAAAGAAAAAACGTAAGAAAGATAAGGATAAAAAGAAAAGGAAAAAGGAGAAGAAAGAGAAGAAATTGAAAAAATTAAAGAAAAAATTGAAGAAAGAAAAACTCAAGAATAAGAAAACAGAAGATTCAGACAAAAAGAATAAAGGTATAAATTTTAAAATTAATGTTAGCTACAAAAAAGGAATCAATTAATACTTGCCTTTTTTCCATAGATACGAAAAGTCTCAAAAATGTGGTATCCTCATCCTCTTCATCATCTTCGGAAAGCTCTGATTCAGATGATGAGAAATCATGTATCGGTCCAGTGCAAAAACAAAGTGCTGGTCTTAGTCATAAGGACTTTGGACATGCATTGTTACCTGGTGAAGGAGCTGCTATGGCTGCATTTGTTGCTGAGGGAAAACGTATACCTAGACGTGGTGAAATTGGTCTCACGTCTGATGAAATCGCGCAGTATGAAAGCGTCGGTTATGTTATGAGTGGAAGCAGGTTAGTTCATGGAATCTTTGTTGAAGCACAATATTGGGCAACATGGGTTGAGATAGGCTTTTTTCTTTTGCGTCTTATTTTTATTGGTGCTTAAAACATAACAATTGATAGAATAAATTTATAAAAACAATGAAAATTGATGTTAAAAAACTAGTAAAAATGATTATCTTGGGCGTTCTCTACAAAATAAAATCAATACATACATATGTAATTAATTATCTAAATTACAATGTATTCTTGGAAGGCTCTAATTATGTTTAAAATTGCATAAGAGTATTCTCATTAGTGTGATTATAACATGTTTAATTTTTGAAACTAAATGAAGAAGCCATTCTGGTCTAGAGTTTTTTAAAAATTGATTTTGTTTTTTTTTATTTTTTGAAGATCAACTAGTCAAGAATAAGTGTATAAAAGTTTGTTTAAAAATTAAATTATTTTTGGAGATAAGCTGTTGACCACAATAATCCTCCAGTCATGCCCTTTTTTAAATGCATAAAATTTATGCCTTTATGCCTAATTTTTTTTACTGTCTAAGTACAGTACTTAGACTGTTTCGTTATCTTTATGTTCACACAAAGGTAGTTTTTTTGTCAAATGTGATATGCATTTTAGAAAATGCATGAAGGATTAAATAGTAATGTAAATTCATTTAAACATGAGATTGTATGAATCAATTAATATATTATATTTGAACATTTCATTTAAATAGCTGATTTGATATAATTGTGTTTGAAATTGTATAATAATCACCTTCGTATTACACGGTAGTTATGTTACAAAGAAGTAGTGTTTTATGCAAATCCGTGTTATATGGGACAAAGAACTAGTAAAAAAGAGGGGTTACGTTCCAAGAATACAAAAAAACATGCCACATATCATGACTTTATAATAAATATTGGTATATTTATTAATTTTTTTTCATCCTCTGAACAGTTTTCTGTACTACCTCCAGATCCGTGCATTATTTTTTGCAAAAAAAAATTATATTTGCGATTATTTGCTTTAAGCAAGATGATATTTTTATATTTGACACATGCCAAGTTATAGTTATTAAACTTTTATGCTCATTTTATTTAAAGAATCTTTGTTTAAAAAATGTGAAATATGTTGTTCAGATAAGCCTAGAATTGTTTTTCAAAAATCAAACTACTTATATTTTGCACTAGTTTATCAAATTTATAGAGCTATTGTATGGAGACTTTTCTAATTTTAGATTATATGAATTTTAAATTTAATAGGTTTTACTATATATTTTATTTTATTAGGGTTTTGCTCAATTCTCAAATCGTGTTATAGCGAACCCATGCAGCTAAAGTACTTGTTATGAGAGGGATGGTCTCAATTCTTTAACCGTGTTATGCGGGGGGTTGCCTATATATACCTACAACTGTTATGGGAATATTCAAGAATGTATTGACTTAAGTTTTGTGAGATTTATTATTACTCATATGAGTGTATTTCACATAAAGAGCATTTCTAACAGGTAGCATGGTCGGGGCTTTATTGTGATATTGTTAAATTATTATAAGGATTTTTTTGTTTGTTCTTTTTTTTTCAACGAACATATTTTAGAACTAACGTTATTATAGAAGAAAAGAAGCCACAATATCACTTAAAACTTTGTTTTCAGGCATCGTCGTATGGAAGCTGTACGTATCCGTAAAGAAAATCAAATTTATTCCGCGGATGAAAAACGTGCTCTTGCTATGTTCAGTAAAGAAGAAAGACAAAAACGTGAGCATAGGATCTTAGGACAGTTTAAAGAGATAATTAATTCAAAGTTATCCGAAAAACAGAAACAATAGTATCAGTTAAGTATATAATTTGTTAAATAAGACTGAATATCTTGAATAATTTATGACGTCTTTGGCTATGTGACCACAATCACAATTTGTATTTTAAAATGAATTTGATATATTATTTTTATTATGCGATTAATTATTACGCGATATCATGTAATGCTATTAATTTATAATCTAATGTATATAAGTTTTGAAGCAACTCAATAAATAATGTTTAGTTCATTTGCATTAGTTTTACCATTCCAAATCTATTATGTAAATCTATTATTCTGTGAAAGCTCAATTTTAATCAAGCATATGAATGAATCAGGCGATTATTTTAGGAATGTAAAGATTTTTATTTTAATTTATTTGGTGCATATCTAAAAAGTATACAAATTTTATTTAACAATATTTAAAATCATCTTAAGAACATTTCATAAGAAAATATTAATATGCTAATATAACACACGCAAGTAATACTTAGTTTGATCATATCTGTAAATAATATGTGTATCATATAAAATATTTGATTAACCCTGCAATTTCACTGTTTCTTCTGCTTGCTGCTCCATTCTAAAAAGCTACCTTCGTAGTATCTTGATCTGAAAGTTTACAGTAATTTGAATTAATTTTTTTCTTAAAACAGAATGAGTTTCAGTTATTTTGTCATGATTATAATTATGATATTTTTTTTTGTTTATTTCAAATCATGAACATATGATGAGATTTAATAAGAAATCTATTCCGAATTTAGTTTTTAATAAATCTGTGAAATTAATGTTATGTATAAAAAGAATATCTTCTTACTTCTTGTAACACAATCCCAATGCTGTTTCCATAGCTTCCTTTGCTCGTTTTCCGGAACGGCAACTAAAAATGATTTCAGTATCGAATGTTGGTTTATCTCTTCCGAATTTGGTTTTGAATTCTTCAGGAGACATGTTCTTGAGAGCATTTTCCAATTCACGTACTGAAACAAAATAATCAAATTTATAAAAAGAAAATCATATAATCTCTAAGAATTGTATAACCAATTACAAGTAAACTTATAACGCCACAATACTCATCCCGTTCTTAAATCAGAATTTGTTTTCAAAGCGAGCAAACTTTATGTATTAATTTAAATTCAATAATTACTTCGTTCTTCTTTATATATTATTGCATCAGTATTTTATGTAAAATACTGATAACCGTAATTTTTAACACCACCGAGAAATTATACAGCGTTTTTCAAGTGATTTTTTATATAAATTTTATCAAACGATTGTATATTTGTTTTATTAATAAAACAACTTTTAATTGCATCTTTAAAACAATTGTATTTTTAACTCATAATGAAATGACGGGTTTATTATAGTTCTGTTTAAATTACTTCCATATATAAAGTGGAGCAAATTAGCTCCAATTTAAATTAAGTCTGATAAAATCATAGCTGAATCAAAAAGTATTGAATTTTAATTAAATACACTTAATTATCAAACTTAAATAAATGGAAATATTATTACAAGAGTTTAAAACCACAATTGTGAAATAAAAGAATGAAAATTTATGGAAAATCTCTCCATAGCGTCAATATGTAAAAAATTGAAAAAAAAAGGCAATTATTTATATACTCGTTTCGAGTTGTCTCATCTCATCCAGCTAAAGTTAAACGAACTAGTGAATGAATACTATAATAACAAAATGATATATAAATGGCGTTATTATAAAATTATGAAATAATTGGTACAAAATTGTAGTACATTTTTAATTTGTAAATAAATAGCCTTGTATGACGAAAAACCTAAGCGAATCAAGTAACTTATTAAAATTGAAATGAAGAGCCCAAAGCGTCAGAAAATAATATATATATATATATATATATATATATATATATAATAAATGTATATATAATTATTAATTATATGTTATTGTAGGTATCGATTCTTTTCATATTAAGAGCGTGTTGGCGATGGTTTGAACTAGGAAATGCAATACCGATATACTAATTTATAAAATTTATTTTATACTAATTTCCGAAACTTTATCAAGATAAATAATAATATACTCTAATTATGGAGTATACTTATTTGAAATAATAAATTGGCCCTACATTATTTTCAAACTGCGATACGTTTTATGTAAAATAATATTTTACAATTGTAATAAAAAGCAAAAATATTTAGTAATTAATATGATTAATATGTACGAAGTGAGGAAAAAGGCAGTGGTATTTATGATTTAAAATATTTTGGCGCAAATATCACTTTAAAAAAAAACCGTTACATTTTTATATAAGATAATTATTACAACATGATTATCTATCAGTCCGATTCCATTTATTTTAAAATGATATGAAGCCCTTTGATAAGCATTAAATATTCAGTTTAATGACGAGTTGAGATAATATTATGACATTTGTTTATACTATAGAACTACTTAAAGCTGCATCTGTTTATGCGATTATGGAATTTAAAGATGAGAAATTTAAGCTCGAGTGTAATATGTATCAAATAGCGCTTTATGTAAAAATATCCAAATACCGGTATTTTTTAAGATAAATACCAGTATCAAAACCGCCGAAAATTCGGGCGGTATATCAGTGTTGCATTCCCTAATTTGAACCACTCTATGATATGCTAGGGACTTATTATTATTCATAAAAAACATGGATAAAAACGAACTTTGAAAATCCATTTTGGCAGATTTTAAACAGAATATTTAATACTCACATGGAATGTTTATAGCCGTCGGAATTTTTCCTTCCTGCTCCAATTCCTCCGGTTGACGAACATCAATAAGTAAAACTTCTGGTTTCTGTGGCAAATCAACTATTTCTTCATAAGTAGCGATTCTGCCAGTGTCATGTTGTGTATCGTTAAAGTTAGGGCAAGTAGATTGCCCTTTGCAAGCTGCAATGGTAATTAGTGCGAAAACTATAATTGTCTTCATTTTTATCAAATAATTGAATCGGACAGTTTAAATGTTATTTTAAAGTCTGTTGTCAGAAAAATACTGAGCACTCCGGAGTCGCCGGTGTGGTTTATATACTCAAGCGTATCAAACGCAGGCACGGATTGATTGCGAAAACAATTTATAGTAGGTTCAAATCTTTTCTGAAACAAATTTTGACAATAGCAATTTGACAAAAAAAATGCCCGTAAAATGTATTTAAAAATTTATTAGATAAAATATATTAAGATCGATTTTATATATGTCATAAAATTATTTAACGATTAAAGAATTTTCACGAAATTTTTATAAAATGAATGTCTCAAATCAATGGAATATTGTTAGTTTTAGTCCTGATAAAAAACCGACGATATACGTTTAATGCAGCGGTCGGGGAACTTTTACAAATCATTATTATTTTTACCCCCAAATTATTCTTGTACTAGTTGATATTATGCTCATGGCGGATATTTATTACCCTCATAAGGACAACTTTGCAAATGCAGTAAACATCGATTAAAAATACTAAATTTTATTCCCAAAAATTCCATTTTTCCCCATTTGGGGTAATTTACCCCGGCTTTCCGACCACTGGTCTATTGGCCTATTGTTACGTTCGAGTTACGATATAATTATGTTACGTCTAAGTTACGATTTTTTGTGATTTTTAGTCATACCTTGACGCATAATTTATAAAAATTTGGAAATTAATTATAAACGTTAATACAACAGCTTTTTGACTGTTGCATTTTTTTTTACTTAAAATTTGAAAAATACTGATGACATGTGCGAAATAGATGACAAATGAACTGTTACATGTGATATGTTTTGACAAAAAATCACTTTCTCTAGAATTTAAATTTTTGATTTTTTTTATTTGCCGAAATTATTATCATACTCATAATATATATATATATATATATACTAGATGACCCGACAGACGTTGTCCTGTACCCACCTCTACGTTTTTTAATATCCTATACTAATATTTATACCGTTCAGTTAAAAATATTCATTATTGTTTTTCGAGTTACTATTTACACCAATATATGAGTGATGTTAAATGCAGTACTGTTTCAAATAAAATGATTATTCTCAATTCTCACAGTTAACACTTTAATTATCCCTTTAACAAATATTAAAATATGTTCAATAAAATTATATATTAAAAATTATACACTGCGATTTATAGAACAAATTTATTTCCAATAGCTCAATTTATTTTATTGAATTTAAGGGTACTATTTTTAATACTACAATATTTTTAGACATACCTGTAGATGTGGATGTTTAAATGAATGATTTTTTGTTTATTCACGGCTAAAACATTGATTTTCCAAATTTATCACCATGTATTTATTGTCATAGCATAGATACGCATGTTGAAAATTGAAATCTTTTAAAAAGTATAACAAATTCAGAAAGAATTAATATATAGCATGCGGTCAAGGTACAATATCACCTTGGATTTTCCTACCCAAAATAATTGCTTAAATAATGTTGCCTACAATTTTTACAATTTCGAACCATATTTTAACTGGCTTTTAGTATTTTAATATCTAAATTGCATTTTTCACACTAATAATTCAATATACATTATTACTCAAGTTCATATTTGAAGTGAATTAATTTGTCAAATTTTGTTCACATGTGCTCTATTCAACCTACTATCAACAAACTTATTGCAGTAAATGGAGATGAAAAAAGCGTATGCCCAGCTAATCTTAATCTAAAGTTCAGAAGTGCAAACAATTTGCATTGCGTCACCACCCCCCGCATTAATTGGATTATAACTCTTTTAATTCTGATTTTATCATAACTTGTAATATACTATTTTAAAGGTGATTAATTGAGCTACAACTTTCTCTATCATAAATTTTACCGTAACTTCTCTTATTTTGAAACGGCGAAGGGTTGAAGGGCTCGAAAGACACTCCGGTTGGACAGCCGCGCACTCTTTAAACAATTAGAACTCTATCAATATTTGTGTAACAAAAAAATAATAAAAAGCAATAATTAGTCTGAAAAATACCTTGAATTTTCATATATATACTTTTATACGTATTCTTTCAGAGATATTATAATGAGATTTTTTTTTTAAATGGATTTTTTTATGAAATCATGAGTTTGTTGAAAATCGTTTGTACTAATGTTATGGTATTTTCTAGAATCCATCAAGATCTCTCAAACCAAGTTAATTCTAGATGGAAAACGATTATTTTTAATTTTGGTGGAAATGGCACTCATAAACTATTTGATTTAAATGAAAAAAAACATTGTATGCGTCTTTTAATTGCATGATAGCTCACTCATTTTACACGCAGAAGCACTTCTTTTAAAGCTTATTTGGAGAACTATAAAAACCCATTTTGATAATTAACTTAATATTGTTCCTAGAACACTGTAAAATAGCGATTTATTAGGATTTTTATTGATATAATTTTGTTCATTACATAATTTTCGTTAAAATGTATATTTTTGAAGATATTAGCAAAAAACGATGAAAAACGCAAAAAAGAAACAAATTTTCAGTAGCCAGTAACTTGAAAAGTATTTGCTTTTTTGAAAAACATTATTAAACATTTTTCTCTTATAATTAGTTCTTTTATCCACACCCAGTGTTATTACACCACTGAAAAGAAATGGCATCCCCCCGGGTAGTGCAAAGGAGTCTAAATTGTTTTCACTTTTGAACTTGAGAGTAAGATGAGCCTAATTCCAAAATTCCAAACGAATTGGAAAACAGTAAAAAAAAGTTAAGACCCAAAGCGCTCCATTGAGTAAATATTCCGTACAAAATGCCAACCATTTGAATTTTTGACACAATGAAACTTCTAAATAATTTTTTGAATAAGTAATTTTTTTTGTATTGTAACTTAGTATAGCAAGGAAAAACGACTGCAAATTAAATATTTTTGAGCGCAATCACTTATGGCTCGCCCCATTGCACGAATTCGTACGGCGAATCTGTTCGCAAAGTGCGCAAACAAAATGATTCGCCGTGCGCGTCAGACGCATGCGCAGGCTGTCAAACGCATGTTATATTATTTGCATCTTATATTAATTTAATTTTTGGCACATCTCAGCTGCTTTTCGGCAATAATAATGTATACATTACATTTTCCTTATTTATAATCATGAATTTATTATATTTTATTATTGCCTTAGCCTATAAGTGAATAGAAATGTTTGGCAAATGACAGTTGTCATTTGTTTTTAATGTCAAACCATGCCTTAAATATTTTAAAGGTCAAACAATGATAAGCGGTTTTTTGTAATTTTTTTCATTTATTTCTACAATCTAACTATATTTCTATGAATCAAAACATTCTAGAAAATTTCCCGAACAAACTTCAGGAAGATTCATGAAAATCCGAATTATAGTTTAGGAGAAAAAATGAAACTTACATTGTTACAGAAGTATTTTATATATAAGATATATATATATACATATACTACAATTTTATAAAATATATATCGAACTATTTCAGAGATATTTTAAAGTGCTATTTATATTTCGGTTTGTATAAATAACCAATAGCAATGAAGTATTTTATTTGAACGTTCACAAATTTTCTCTAAAAAAATTATCACATAATTTTTATGAGATCTTCAACATTTAACAAGTTACACACTAATTCGGTGTATTCGATATCGAATAAAATTGATAACAATAGTTATATTGATTTAAGAAAATAAATATAAATCATATTTCCTCTATCAACTTTTTGCTTAAATTCTCAATGTATAATAGCGCAATCAAAATTACTTTTTTTTGCTATATTGAGAATCATTAGTTTTTATACATGTTTTGCTGCTCAGAATATATTGTTTTTAGATCATAAAAAACTACATGAAATAATTTATGGTCAGAAACAGGTTTTTGCGATATCTTCGGATATTAACAGCATACTTTTGTCTAATGGAAGTTGTTTTATTAAACGATGTACGATAAATTTGAAGTTTCGTTATGGTCTTGACTATTAATTCAAAATTTATTATACGATATAATATATATTATGTTTTGGATTGCACGCTGTATTTATGATCTCGTATGGAATTGAGAATTATTTATATATTTATGCTGGTATGATCAAAAGTATTAACATTATAAATATAATTTTGAATCACACAAATATTCCGAAGTATAATAGTCACAATCACAAAACATGTCAAAAAAGAACATCAGTATTTAATTAATAAAACATTCATTTTGTGAGATAAAAAAGGTGTAAAAATGGAATTGGGATCAATATATAGAAAAATATATATGTAAATACGCATATTTATATATAATATATTACATTTTGCATTATTTATTTAAACAATTTCAACAAAAGGGGGTATTCTAGTATAGAAATTCAAAAAAATATATTTTTCTTTTGTTTCTTATTTTAAAAGTTTCACTAATAATATTTGTACTAAAGGATTTTTAAAAATTCAAATTATTTTCGGAGATACATCTGTTTGACCATGACAATCCTCTATTGTTTCTTTCCTTTTGCGAAACTTTAAACGTAAAACTATCTTCTTCAATATGATACCCACGATTTCTCGAATTCTACTGAACCGTTTTACTTGAAACTTTTGAAGAATTATAATTCTTTTTTATAGACTTCTCAGGCATATACTAGCCACATCTCCTAATTTTAATTTTACTATTTAAAAAAAATCAAGAAAACAAACAAAAAAGTGGTAGAAAGTTGATCAGTTTTTTTTCAAACAGTCACCATTTTGTCAAAAATTTATTTTTCATTTATTACTAGAACAGTTGCAAAAGTGGGCATGGTCACATGTCATCTTTTTGGAACCTCTCACTTTAGCCACTGATAATTTTTAAAATTATTAAATGTTTTTGTTTCATTTTTTTCTGTACTCTTGTAGCGTTGATAAAGAAATTCTAAAAAAATGATAGTATAAAATTAATTGCCTTTCTGATTTAAAAATGACCTAAAATTCGTGCCCCTTCAAACAATGGCTCCTACGATTTATTTCTCAACTAACAAACAATTCAATTTAAATAAGAACAGTAATAATATTAAAAATGAGAATGATCTAATTTTAATATTTATTAAAATTTTATTATTTTATAAGAATTTTTTTATATAAAAAAACAGAAAGATCAAACAGAAAATTAGCAATAGTTTTATTATTCAAATCTTTGCTAATTACAAAGTTGTTACAGTAACAATAAACATTGGGAAAGATTTCTATCGTACCTTGTGACCTATTCAAGGTTGCAATTTTCTACAAGAACATGTCAACAATGATGCTAATTTATGCTGATGAATATGACTCATCATACAAATGACTTTGAAAATATTGATATATTTAATTTGACTTCTGCATTTTAATCAGTATGTATCTGTATTTGTGTGGGATTTTTATTTTTTAACATATCTTAGTATGCAAAAAATAGAAATATTCTCGTAAGTAGATTTGAAAAAAACTATCGCATTTCGCTATTATTTTCCAATAATTTAATTCAAAATTATTTTCGGCAGATAATATTCTAAAACAAATTCTTTTCATTAGATATAGTATTAAATTTTATTTTTAAATTCATTGTGATTCTCTCACAACATGGTCCTGCCTTCGAGCCGAGAACCAATTAATTATAATTGTTATTATTATAATCATAATCATATATGTATTACAACATAGCTAATCGCAAAATCAATCGCATTTATATGAGTGAAACAGATCAGATATAAATTTTTGAATATAAAATTTCATTTTATTATGTGGTTAATAATATACTGCAGTTTTGGAATCGTCAAAAGTTTATAGTGCATCTAACTAACTACACAAATTATTAACTTCTTTTCACAAAAAGTTTATTATTCCATAAAAAAATACAAATTCCCATAATAAAATTATTTTACAAAGCGTATTCAAAAAGTAAGGTTCTGAAGTTTTGCGTGCAATTTGATTTTATCAAACTTTGTTTTTATTTAATCATATTCCTACAGTTTGAAATACATATATCATACAGTTTCTTTTGGACAAATTAAAAATATTAAGTTGATATCGAAATAAATATATGAAGCTTTCAAATATGAGTAAAATTGTTGAAAAAATAAGGAAATGTGGAAGATGTTGAAAATATAGTTTTTGAAACAGCAGCTAGTTTTTCTAATAAAGATCTGTAACAATTAACTGGGTAAAAAGACAAAAATAATAATAGTAGTGATTTCGAAAAAGATAAAAAAAAACATTCAAAAATAAATGGATCCGTAATGAATCTGCTCTGAGAAGCAACCTTTTCCAAGACGGTCGAAAAGATAAGGACGAAGAACCTTAAGCTGAACGCCACTTATAAACTTTTTTTTTATATTGCCTTAAGATAAATTGTTGATACGTTAAAAAATAGTTCGTAGCACGTATTTTTTTAATTTTTTAGGCATTAAAGCTCTAAATTCTGATTCGGAATTTCATCGCGTAAAAGTCCCCCAAAAGCGTTTGAATGATTTTAATCTCACAGATTTGCTCAATCTGTGACGATGAGGTATATGGCTTTGACATCGGAACCAATAATTCATAATAATAGAAATCAGACGATCCAAACAAGATACTTCTACCAAAAGGGTAAAAGTATTCTGCCCTTTACATTTGCTAAAAACAAAGCACAAACACAAAATTTGTTCTTGGATCGTACTGAACTTGAAAATTTTTCTTACTGTTTGAACACGCCTTGTATTTATACTAAATTATGTGCAACCCTTCACACAACTTTTTCATAATAGTTTCCGAAAAAATTCATAAATTTTGCAGATTCTTTTCTATTTATTGAGTATTACCTCCGGCATTCCTTTTGGACCAGTCTTCAAAGCTTCCTTTGTAGTTCCTGGCGCTATATAAAAAATAATTCGACTTTAATAGTACATCTATTTACGAATAACTATTTATATTTATGTATCTATTTCAGCATTTATGTATTTATTATACACAATGTTTCCAAATTATTTTATTATGCCAGGAATTTATATGATTTATTGTCTAATATTGTTTACTACAAAAATGATGATGGAATTAATGTAACATCATTGAACTAGTTGGCCCTTATTATAGTAGTACCCTTAAGGGTATTTATGCATTTGGGGTAATTATGCATGTATAATTACCTATGAGTTAAAATAGATCATGAATTAAAATTTAATTGCTTTATATTAAAAAATGAAACATTTATAAACACACACACAGATAAATAAATTTTGTGTTATATTTGAAAAGAAAAATTTTGATTTTATTACACAACAGTAATGAATTACACGACCACAAAAATGAAGTGTTTTTTAGTTGAACTTTTCTAAGTAAATGAAAGTGAATCCGCAAATTATCTGTTTCATTGAAGTGCTCTTTGGCAAACCACATTTTTTGTTTTTTGGTCTGACGTTAACACAAACAAAGCGGATGGTTTCCCGACTCGTGAATAGTCCACGTATAACTGCCCATGTGAAAAACAATGATTTTCTAAATAATCTATTTGAAATTTATCCCGCAAACTCTAAGCGATTGGCCTTGCGACTTGTTAATTGTCATTGCGAACGCAAGGCGGACTGGAAATTGCAATCGTTTGAAGTCAAACGGAAGACCAGTCGGAATCATTGGTATGTCACCAAATCGCCAGCAATTTTTGATTGAATGGTGAAATTCAGTGCGTGTACATTATTATTCTTTGCAGCAAGAATTGCTCGTTGACTTAACTAAGCATAATTCTGATAATTCTCACTAATGCCATTACTCGAATTTTGAATTACGGTCTGTGAAGTTCCAGCAATTTGCATTAAGGCACGATGCCATGCACTAATTTTCTTAGCTATGAACCTCGCGGAGCCCGAGACCTTTTGCAACGAATTCAAAATTGTCGAAATCGGCTCGTGCGTTCTGGAGTTATATCGCCAGGAAGGAAGACCCGACTTATTTATATATATATATATATATATATATATATATATATATATACCAAGAAGCATCCTGACCAGAAACGGATACTGCCCGAGAGAGATCAGGACATGGATCGCAAGCACCAAGGCGGCGTTCACGAAGAAGAGAACGCTACTGACGAGCAAACTGAGTCTAGACTTGCGAAAGAGACTAATAAAGTGCTACGTATGGACCATAGCTCTGTACGAATCGGAGGCGTGGACTCTAAGAAAGGCCGACAAGAACTATCTAGAGAGTTTTGAAATGTGGTACTGGAGGCGAATGGAGAAGATAAAGTGGACAGACAAAATAACAAATGAAGAAGTCCTGAGAAGAGTAGGCGAAGAAAGGACTCTACTGAGCACAATCCTGAGAGGAAATGAAAAGTGGGTCGGACCCCTTCTGCAAAAAGAGTGCCTCCTGCACGACGTCATCGAGGATAAAATATAGAAGGAGTGAAAGAAAGAAGAATGCAGACGATTTACGACTTACACGACAAGAGAAAATGCAGGGAACTAAAAGCCGAAGTACAGGATCAAGAAGCATGAAGACAAGTTCGAAAAGGTAAAAATATGAAAAATGTGATAGGAATAGGAATGATAGACGAAGGGTAAGGGAATCATTTATTTGTGGCAGCTCTCACACCATGGACCTGCCTTCGGGCAGACTACCATTTATTATAATTATATATATATATATATATATATATATATAAGTGTGTGTGTGTATGTGTGTATTTGCGTGTTATTTTATTTGGTGTGATTCATATTTAAATCAATGAACTTTAATCCATGGTTTGTTTTAGATAAATATTGCGAATGACTTATATAATTTTTTATTGCGGAATCACGCAGTATTAATTACAAATTCATGCATAATTATATAATATAAATCGCATATAATGCTTTATGTCAACAAATTAAAATGCACCAAGAGTTATCAATAACGTTCTTGCTAATGAGGATCACGATGCAATACAATCGGATTCATTTGCTCAGATTATTATCACAATTATTGGATGCACCCATGTGAAGAAAACAAGCAAAATAAATTAATGGAAATACACATATGCGTGCATAAGAGGCATTCATTATGAAGGTTGAATGATATTTTTATATAAAAATAGGTAATAAAGTACTAAACGATAGTAATTTCGATCTAAAATTGAATTAGATGCGGTCAAGGTTATTCGGAATGATTTTACTACGGTTTGTTTATCATAAATTTAGTATTGTGAAATGATCAGAATGGGAATGGAAAAACATTATGAAAAAATAATATAATTTTTTTTTTGCCCTTTCCAACCGCATAGTAAATGATTACGTCTTTTAATAAAGAACCGAGGGATAAATGTGATCACAATGTTAATTTTGAATATTTTCAAAATTTGATACAGATAACTATGAAGACCTGGTATAATTGATTGAGGCATCCCATAAAATTTCTGACTATACTATTCTATAATAAATTCAGATTATTATTTTTAGAAATAAAAAAATAAAATGAGTATGTTTATAGAGTTCTTCAAGATCTTAAAACCATACATTCTGAAGTTATGCTTTTGTTATACTAAAAACAAATAGATGTGCTGTTAAGAAGCTTGAATCCCAGAAAAAATTTGAGAAACTTAAGCAATTTGTAACAAATAAGTAATGTTACCACGTTGTAAGATTTAACCCTTTGCTCTCATATGCCTGCTCTTGGCCACCATAGCATACATGCGTTCATACAGCCCACAGTAATTATAAAACATAACTTTTATATATAAACATATTACTAGATAAGTATAAATTAAAATATATTTAAAGTTCACGAAACAATTGCTAAATCTTGTTTATACATCCAAAACTTCCGTTTTATGTATTCCTGCAGCTCTATCGATAGAAATTATTTCCGAGTATGATACCTATCTCCGAATTTAATTCGAGGGTAAAGGGTTGATTTTACTTTGAGTTTTTGGACCCGAAAAGTTTATTTATTAACGAAGTAACAAACATCTAACATTTAGTTTATTCAGATAATTGAATAACTACTGGTAATATAAAAATCGGCAGATAACAGAAACTTAAATTTAAATTTACTATAACAAGCTTTTGGGAGGACAAAAGTGGTTGCCTGTCGAAAAACATGCCAATCCACCAGCTTGAGATTATTAATTAATAGCAGCTTGTTATATGTTTTCATTTAGAAATCCATTATATAAACATAAAATATGTTTTGAATTTCTCAAATATATGTTTATGAATTTAAATTAAGTATATAAACTTACTTTTTGTAACCTAGCTGAAGAGCTTGATCCAGAGCTTTAGCCGATCTTCCGCCTAGTTTACAATGAAAGATGATTTCTGTATCAGGTTCTGGTTTTGGTCTGCCGAATTTTTCTTGAAATTCTTCTTTTGGCATGTTTTGTAAAACATCGCTTACTGTACTCACTGAAATAAATAAATAATATATAAACTTAATTATTTATAAATAAAGTTTACATAAATAAACTAAAACTTAATAAAACAAATCCAAATTAAAACATTATAACCATTAAATAATTTAATATAAACATTTTAATATAAACATTGAAACATGAAATTTTGATTTTGTATATAATAATAAATTAATATATTTCAATTTCATATAAGACAATAAAATATTAAAATGAATTAGTATAAATAATCCATGAGGGTGGTCAATTTTTGCAAATCTTCATCGACCAGAATAGTAAATTTCATCAAATAATATAATAATCATAAATAAACCAAATTTGCGTTAACTGTCTCCTTTTTTAGAGTTTTCAGTAATTATAAAAGTTTAGTTTTTAAATAAAGTAGGCAAAATAGAAATATATTCTCACGATTACACAAAAAACTTATTTAATTACACAAATATATAATTATATGTTCAAATAATAAAATTCTTTTCAATAAAAAGTTTTTTCGGCACTCATTCAATTAAATAAAAGCTTATGTTAGGTAATTCAAAAATTTTGATAATCTAATATACGTTACGAGTCTTGATTTGGCTCACCTTCAGTGCGATACTTATAAATAATTAAAAAAATACAAATACAAAAAACAATAAATAATTCCAAATCAAGGTTCGAAAAATAAGAATAATTACTGTTTCAAATTACCTAACTTTGGATTTTGTTTGAATACTTGAAAACTTGTCATTAAATTCACTATTCGAAACAGTTGGGCTGATCTTCGAAGTGGTGAAAAAGATTGGATGATCTTCGAGGGCGGCTTCTCAAAGTCAACCGATTTTAAAAATTTATTTCTTGAAAATTTAGAGCAGTTGTGGTATTTTTTTTCTGCGGTCCTAATGTTATTCACAGTTACGGTTCCAAAGTTTAAATGATAAAAATTAATAAAAGTTAACCACTATAACCAAAAAAAATGATCATAAATTTTACCAAAGCTCTAGGTTGCACTCAATAATTTCCAAATAACGTGAGATATTTTTTTCATATTTTTTCAGGACAGTTAAGGTCAATTATGCTTATTTATCTATAGTCAATACTATCACCCCATTTCGGCTTGATGTCAAATCTTGGGCACCCTGTATATAGTACTCTTGTTGCATTTATATATTAAATAATCTTAATTTTAAGGACGTTTCGCGACTAGATAATATAATTTCTAATAACTAAAATATGATTATATAGTATATATAATTTCTAATTACTAAAAAATGAAGATAACAGGGCCGGATTCAGAAATTTGGCGCCCTGGAGCACTGACAAAAATTCCGCCCCATTTTTATATCTCATTTTTGTAAAACTAAAATCTATTTTATTGCAGAAAATTTATCACGCATTACATATTTGTTCTATGTATATATATAATTTTTTCCTTAATTTCCAAATTTTGCCCTGAAAATTTGCCGCCCTGAGCCCCTAGCCCCGACTGCCCCTACTGTAAATCCAGCACTGACTGGGATATATATATATATATATATATATATATATCTTCTAATAATACTCTATAATTTATTATACTTACACGGAATATTGATACTGGTAGGAATCTTGCCAAATTGTTTTAGTTCATCCGGCTCTCGCACATCGATTAGCAAAACAGTTGGTTTCTCTGTCAAAGACTTCACTTCTTCATAAGTTGCTATTCTATCGACGGACATTATTGAGGATACGTGTACTGATCTCGAAAATAAACTTCCGCTTTTTGATATGACGGTGACTGCAATATATTTTAACAAATATACTTTTATTTTTGATTAGAATAATCAATATTCTAATCGTAATTAATTCCTTTTATCAAATGATTCGTTTAATATATCACCGATAAATGGTTCTTAATTTCGATAACAAGTACGCAAGATCAGATATTGCTTGGACTACTGACGAACACAAGAATGATTATACAAACTTACTTTGTTTGATTATTTAATCATAGATAAAAGAAGAGTATTTAATATTAATGAATGGTATTTATTCTAATTATTGACAATTCTATTTAAAGGTTCATTTAATATTTATAGGTCAGATATCGATGAACGAATGTTGATGTACCGGCCTTGTCACAGTCGGAGAAAAAAGCAAAAATATTCTGCTTCTGATAAATTGAAACTAGTTGTAGGGTAGTTGTAGTTGCCCCAAGTCGAGCTTTATCAAAAGACGTTTAGATTTTCGAAATCGGTGCAACTGTTTTTGATAAAAAGCCGATGAAGCTATGTCTAATTTTGGCTCACATACTTTTTTCCAAATTTGGAGTCATAAGATTTTGAAGGAATTGAAGGGTCCATAATAAATATAAAATTAGCAAATCCGATTTTCTGGAAAAAACATCAACTTGTATTTCAGACAGTTAAATATTTTGCAATAATTTAAAGATATACATAATGTAGGTAACAATTACTTGAAAATACAATAATGATTGAAGAGTAAGAATTTATATAAGCAAATTTCCACTTGGATGCCGCCAGAGAAAGGGTTAATTTAGATTTTCAGAACTTGGATCTAATTTTAATTATTTTATGGATTTACAATAATTACAATAAATGTGCTGTAAATCAATAATTTTAACACTTTTAGGAATTTTCAATAATTGCATTTTATGAAATCTCATGGACCCTAGATCAATATATTCAACTCTATCAGGGATTTACAATAATTGCACTTTATAAAGTCTCACGGACCCGAGATCAACAATTTTAACTTTTTTAAAGATTTACCATATTTGAATTTTATGAAGTCCCATGGACCCTAGATCAATAATTTCAACTGTTTTATGGATTTACAGTAATTACACTTTATAAAGTCTCATGGACCCCACACCATAATAATTTTATCTCTTGTAGGGATTTACAATAATTGCGCTTTATAAAGTCTCATGAACCCTAGATCAATTTTAATTTTTTTTAAAGATTTTCAATAATTGCACTTCATAAAGTCTCATGGACCCTACATCAATAATTTTAACTCTATTAGAAACTTACAATAATTGGACTTTATAAAGACTCATGGACCCTAGATGAATAATTTGAACTCTTTTAGAGATTTACAGTAATTACACTTTATAAAGTCTTATGGACCCTAGACCATAATAATTTTATCTCTTGTAGGGATTTACAATAATTGCGCTTCATAAAGTCTCATGGATCCTAGATCGATAATTTCAACTCTTTTAGGAATATACAATAATTGCACTTTATAAAGTCTGAGAGACCCTAGATCAACAATTCTAAACTTTTTTAAAGATTTACCATAATTGCATTTTATAAAGTTTCATGGACCCTAGATCAATAATTTCAACTCTATCAGGGATTTACAATAATTACTTTATAAAGTCTCATGGACCCTAGATCAACAATTTTAACTTTTGTAAAGATTTACCATAATTGCATTTTATAAAGTCTCATGGACCATAGATCAATAATTTCAACTCATTCAGGATTTACAATAATTGCACTTTATAAAGTTTTATGGACCCTAGATCAATAATTTTAATTCTTTTAGAGATTTACAGTAATTGCACTTTATAAAATCTCATGAACCCTGGATCAATAATTTCAACACATTTAGGGATTTACAATCATTGCACTTTATAGTCTCATGGACTCTAGATCAATAATTTCAACTCTTTCAGAGATTTACAATAATTGCACTTTATAAAGTCTCATGGACCCTAGATGAACTCTTATAGGGATTTATAGTAATTACACTTTATAAAGTCTCATGGACCCTAGATCAATAATTTCAACTGCTTTTAGGGAATTACAATCATTGCACTTTATAAAGTCTCATGGACTCTAGATCAATAATTTCAACCCTTTTAGGAATTTACAATAATTGCACTTTATAGTCTCATACACTCTAGGCGAATAAATTGAACTCTTTTAGGGATTTACAATAATTGCACTTTATAAAGTCTCATGGATCCTAGATCAATAATTTTAACTCTTTTAGGAATTGACAATAATTGCACTTTATGAAATCTCATGGACCCTAGATCAATAATTTCAACTCTATCAGGGATTTACAATAATTGCACTTTATGAAATCTCATGGACCCTAGATCAATAATTTTAACTCTTTTAGGAATTGACAATAATTGATCAATAATAGATTAATAATTCCTCTCTATCAGGGATTTACAATAATTGCACTTTATAAAGTCTCATGGACCCTAGATCAATAATTTCAACTCTATCAGGGATTTACAATAATTGCACTTTATAAAGTCACATGGACCCTAGATCAATAATTTCAACTCCTTTAGGGATTTACAATAAATGCACTTAATAAAGTCTCATGAACCTTATAGTTCAGTCATTATAATAAGTTCACCTCAGAATTTGAGATATCCAGCTGTAAGTCTGTAAATACTTGTTTTTGCACCCTAAAAGCTGTCTCAAAACCTACATATGTTGTGTACACCCTATCATATGTAGTTTTAAGACAACTTTTAGGGTGCAAAATACAAGTATTTACAGACTTACAGCTGGGTATCTCGAATTCCGAGATTCTTACCTAATTTAAGCTTAAATGACTGGACTATTAGAGATCAATAATTTTAGGGATTTACAACAATTGCACTTTATAAAGTCTCATGGGCTCTATATAAATAATTATAACTCTTTTAGGGATTTACAATAAATGCACTTCATGAAGTTTCATGGTCCCCTAAATGTTATAATCCAACTGATTTAATATTTGATATCTATATCTTATATATAATGAATTTATCTGAATACACACACTCGCTGTAAATTAATTATTCATTTGAATACTGGTTCTGAGGAAATTAGGAAGTTTTTTGCTATTGATCCATGAAAAATTACCAAGAGTTACAGAGCCCTGGTGTTCAATGTACCTTGAATAATGCCAGCACAGCACGGGCACAAATATAGAGCTTAATATAATAATAGTAATAATTAAAATGAATTCGATAAATCTACTAATTACAATATTGCTAATTGTATCAAATTAAATGACTTCATAAACATGCAATTTTTGCATTACTTCGAAAATGTGCTGTATTAAATTATTAAAATTTGAACTAAATAGACAACATGACCTGTCAATATTACAACCCATGTATGTATCAATTTATTAACTTACGATTATTTACAATTTGATTTCTACTAGCACATATTTGTTTGATATTAACTTTGGTCATGTATAACCTAAAACAACTTTTCAGAAACATCGTGACACAACAAAAATTTAGACACAAGTGCACTTTGCAGACTTAAAGATTGGTGAAATTTAACTAATAAGGATTACGTAAACCATAGGGTTTGACGTATGTTTACCATATCATGTGTTTAAAAAACAAATGTCAAAATATAGGACCAAATGAACTGACCTTCAATGAATCTTCAAAGATAATAATAGTTTACCGCTTGAAACGGGTTTTAAATTGTGCGCCTGTGAGTTAAGAAGAGAGCTGGAAATACCGTTTCTCAAAAAGTTTCTCTTTTGCCTTTTATCGTTTTCACTCGTTTTATTGTTTTCATTTTTAACTTTGGGTGGGATAAGTTATAGTAATCGAAAAAATCGAAAATTATTTTTTTACATAACTTTACGTTTTCTAAACATTTATGCTTTACGAAAAATAAATGTTTGTATGTGCGTGTGTTTGGATGTATGTATTAATTAGGGCGAATACTAATTTTCGTCCACGATTTTGAGAACACGGATAAACCTATGTTTACTTATCTATGGATAAACCGATTTGCATGATTCAAGAAGTATTCGATTCCTACTGAGGGAGACGTGCTGATTAATTTTTGAAAAAGGCAGGTCCAGCCGTTTTGAAGATACGGGGCAAAGGGTGCCAGAAATGGAAATTTTTGGGAAGGCAGGTTCACCGGTTTTGAAGATCCAGAATAAGTTATAAAATATGCCATTTGGTGGTGAGAAATGATTATTGGACATATGCACATCAAATTACCAAATACTTTATAGAAATTTTAATAATAAGTACAAACATTGTTAACTTTGCTTTGCGAAAAAAAATTTTAACAAAAAACAAAGTTATGGCCTAAGTTTGTGGACTAAAATAATTTCGCTCTTCTGCTAATTTCGAAGAAACGGTAGATAGAATGGCTTCTAAACTTTTAAAATCGGTCCATCCGTTTTTGAGACAACGTCGACGAAAAGTCAAATAATCGGCTCACACACACATAATTTTTTAAAATTTGGTCTCATTCGTTTCAGAATGGCTTGAAACGTCGAATAAACATAATAACATAAAAACATTTTAAAGTACGCGGACGTAGCTCAGAGGTAGCATGTCCGACTCACATGCCGAAGATCGTTGGTTCGACTCCGGGCGCTTCCAAATGTAATGGAAAAATGTAAAATATCAGAATGTACAGTAATTTCATTTGTAATTAAAGTAGATTAATAATTGTTAATTTGTAGAATACGTGAAAAAATTGTATTAGAGGTAAGAAGGAAAAAAGAAGTTTAGTAGAACATATTGCAAATGTAATGGAAAAATGTAAAATATCAGAATGTTATAATAATTTCATTTGTAATTAAAGTTGATTAAGAATTGTTAATTTGTAGGCTACGAGAAAAAATTGTATTAGAAGTAAGAAGGAAAAAAGAAGTTTAGAAGATCAGAAGAACATATTGAGATACAAGAAGGAAGACAAGAAGATACAAGAAAATTGAATAGAATTGAAATAAGAAAATTGAATGGAAGATTAGGATATAAGAAGAGGTAGTATATATGTGATGTAATATATATGTAAGAATTGTATAGAAAATATGATGTAAAATTTTGCCTACTAAAAAGATCGCCTGATCAGATGGGATCTAGGGCGACAAGGGCCTAGGCGAATGCTCTTTAAAATATTCAAATCGGTTGATCCGTGTTAACGAAATCGTCGACAAAAATTTGTATCCGAACACACACACACATACATCTATTTTTTCTGAGGTATTCCAAATAAAAATATAAGTAATATAATAATAGTGATAAAAAATAAGGTTCAGAAAATGTTGAAACGTAAAAATATATATAAAACTTTTTATTTTCGATTTTTTTATCACTAATATTTGTACATTTTATTGTAAAAGCATAATTTATCTATATACTTTTTACGAAATTATTGATACAGCTCTATAAAAAAATTTGAATGGGTCGCGTGTTATGTGTGCGAGCAAAATAGCAGTAATAATACTAAAAATACTTATCAATGTAAGCATATAACTTAACAAATATATTTACTATTTAAAAAAAACTTTGTTATGATAATTTATATGATAGCTCAGATTGTCTCGGATAGCTCCCTTACTATTTGAATAGTACTCTGAAGGAACGCGACTGCAGCGACGCCAGTGAGGTATTTAAGTATTACAACTATTTCCAATGGGCAGATGAAAACGATTTGTGGTCGATTAATTAATAAATTGTGTTCCCACCCATTGTAAGTTTCGATTTGTATGATTACTATTCGATTATAATAAGAATAAAGTATTTGCTGACATAATTTGGATGAATTATAATTCACCCTAACACTTAACATACTGTGTTTATGAAAGGCATGTAAAGAAAAAATCAGACCTAAAGCAACTTTATTTTTATTATAACATAGATTAAATTGTTCCTATTAAGTTTAGTTGTGCAAAATATGTTGTGTTTTGTTATCGATCATCTTAATTAATAATTATAATTGTGTATTAAAAATAGCCCATTTTGTTTCTCATGTGTATGCCTATTTGTTTCACTTTCACACCAATGAACTCAGGAATGTTTATGTTACCAAATGAAGATGGAATGCGATATAAAACATCCATTAAATCAGTATTTCTTATTTGTAATTACAGATGTTTTCATAATGGACTAGGAGCATGAATATGTATGAATAATCCAAATATATTGGGTTTTATTATTTTTTTATTGATATTAATTTTGACTATTTATATTTGCCATAAAGTGAACTTATCAAAATTAGTGTCACGAGAAAATAATTTAGAAATCATGGGGTCCATTAAACAACCTGGCAGGTTTATGAATACACAACAAAATGCACAGAGGACAACAAAAGCTCAAGGTAAATTAAAAAAAAAATTAAATATTTTTATAACTTCAAAGTCATTAGGTATTTTTTCTATTATCTATATTAAATTAAGGCATTGTTAAACTTTTTATATATACTAAAATTTTAAATATGTTTATTTATTTTATACTCAAATTTCTATCATTTCTTTTACTCCAGGTGGTTTTCCACAAAGCTTATCTGGAAGTGAGACTGATGTGTCCACATCCAATGAGAATTTATCACATGAAGAGCGATATGTTATCCGTCACACTGCACGTGTTGAACCACAAGGTCAAGAGACCTTGCAAAACCCATCGCCAAGTCCCACTCAAAGCCCAGTGATTAATCGATTGAAATCACCAAATCAAAATGTACAAAGAAAATTGGAATCCAACATACCGAGACCATTTGATATGAGTAGAAAAATGGAAAGTAATTTACCAGTACGAATAAAACATGATTCAAATATATCGAAAATAAAAGAGACTACAATGCCAAGAATCATTGACAATAATCAGAATTCGAGAAATACCAAAGAACAAACAAATTCATTGAATAGAAAAGATTTGCAAAACAGGAATTCAATAGAAAACAGGAATTCTATATCAGAAATAGTGTGCTCTAATAGGAATAGTTTGAAAAATGATTCCATATCTAATAGGAATTCGTTAAAAGAAAGTGTTGGTTCAAATCGTAGTTCTGTTGATGTATCAGCTTCTTCATATAATACTTTGATTATTCACAATCAGGATGAAGGCTGGAATACAAGGTATAAATGATTTATAGATATGTACTAATTTTTTTTAAAAAACAATATTGACTTTGAGTGAAATGCTTAGAGTGAATTTTCACATCTTTTGTATAATACTGATATTCAGTAAATATTACATAACAAATTAATTAATTAATCCACTTTTTTTAAATTTAGACTGCCAAATCATCACAATGCAGAAGCACCGCCTTATAATAAAATTAATAACTCAAAAATAGTATATTCTCATAATAGTGAACATCCGACCATGCCAAATAGACATAGTTTTGAAACAAGGGGTTATGATGAACAAGGCATGCAAGTATGTATAAATGATCAATTTCGTTTTGATCTTTATTATAACTATATAATTTTTGTAATTCTACCATAGGAAATTACTGATATCCCAGATGACTATTTAAATCAATCTCATGTTTTGAAGCATTTGGCAAAAGAAGTGAAAACCCCAACTACTAACTCTCGGTCAAATAGCCATACACGTGACAGTGGTGTTTCTGAAAACAGTGATAGTCTCCGATCTAGAAAACTATCTGATGACCAATTTACAGATTGTGGTGATAGAAATGATCTTATGGATGAACGAGTTCGGTATGAAAATATTTTAGTCTAATCATACACTGAATATAACTATTCACACTTTCAGTATTAAATCATGCTATTTTTTTTTAAATTCATAAGTCAAATTTTCTATTGTAGAATGGACAGTGGTTTTGGTATGGAAAAAACACTTACCTCGGAATATGGAGATTCAATGCGTCCACCAGAATATCCACGATGGAGGGAAGAATCACCTACAAATTCTAAATTCAAGTCAACAAATATTCTTGAAAAAGTTTCTTTATCAAGATCACAGCCTGAATTATCAAAATTGGAAGACAAAAATGATTTTGATAACAAGTAAATACACATTCTAATACTTTTTATTATCAAATTTCATATGTAAATATTTATTTGTAAATATTGACTTAGTCTGGAAAGTAGGCCAAAAACAAAAGGTTGTGAGGTGGAAGAATGCGACATTGAAGCTATTGAAGCACTACTTAATGAGAACTCACAATTAAAAGCAGAATTAACATCTTGCTATCAAAAGGTGGCTAAAAGTCAAAAGGTAATATATAATTCAATTAGTAAATTATTTTTAAACTACTATGTAAGTAGCATTTTGGCCTAAGGCAAGTTGCTTTAATTTACTGATATGTAAATATAATCAACTCAATTAGAAATGAGATTCAATTATTTAGGTAAAGTGTTAAACTATTTATTTCAAAAATAAAGATCTCGGTTTTACTAAAAGTTAATCAATGCAATTTCCAATTGATGCCTTTGCTTATAATATCTGTAATAGTACAAATTAAATTATTATTTTATTTACTACATTTTATTTTATTCATTTTGGGTTCTAAAAATGTATTTTAAATAAGTATAGATGTCAACTGTGATCAGTAATACCTATGAAACACAGAATGTGCATATATTTCTTACATAGATTCTGATTAGAATCGCTTAAACGCACAGTAAATTTCCAAACTTTATAGTAATCTAAAATCTTTTATAATTATCTAAAATTTTTTTTATAAATCTTTACGTTTCAAAAGTTTTTGAACATTTTGACATACCTTACAATTAGAAAAAAATGATGTATGTGTGTGTGCATGTGTGTTTATATATGTGTGTGTGTGTGCGGATACAAATTATCGTCGACGATTTCGGGAATACCGATCAACCGATTTGAATAATTAAAAAAAAAAACATTCGATTCGTATTGATAAGGAGACGTGCTGATTAGTTTTTGGCGAAGGCAGGTCTAGCCGTTCCAAAGATACGGGACAAAAAGTGCCTAAAATGGTAACTTAGTTTTTAAGAGAACGCAGCGTCCGATTTTAATAATTCGAAAAACATTTTACTTGTATTGACAAGATGAAGAACTGATTAAATTTTTGGGAAGGCAGGTCCAGCGGTTAATAAAAATAAAATAAGTTAAAAAAAATGTCATTTTGCGTTCAAAAGTGTTTATTGGATCATCAAATCAAATGGAACATCAAATTATCATATATTTTTTGAATTTTTAAAATCGATTCAAGACTGTGGGCAAAAACGTGGACGAAAAATTTTATACTTCTCTGCTAATTACAAAGAAATGCCGTGGCCGATCGTCGCGCAAAACTAATCGATGCTAGTCCTTACCGAATTCCATCGAATGGCTCTTAAATTTTTAAAATCGGTTCAGCCGTTTTTGAGTAACCGTAGACAAAAGATCAAAAATCGGCTCACATACACAAACACTAAAACACACTATCGATTCAGAACCACTTGAAACGTCGAGTAAACATCGGATTTTCTTGCGAAAACATAAGCTTTGCGAAGTTAATTAATCAATTAATATATTAATAAATATATATTTATATTAATAAAATTAAAAGCAAATTGCAAGCTTGAATTATAACTTGTTACTTCTCTCACTTTCTACCTAATACTTCCAACTGGTTCTCAAATGACTCATGATTGTGATATTTATTGTATCAGAATATTTAATAGTTATAAACAAATCATAAATATTTCAATGTTATTGTAAACAGCCCATATTTATTATTATCAAACATTCTAAATATGCATGTTATTTTAAAGCTTGAGCAAGAAGTGCTGAATATTCATCAAGCTCATGAAGAATTAGTTCAGTCGTGTGAGAGGAGAGAACGACTTGAAAGAGCAGCAAGGACAAGATTGCAAGGAGATTGCAGGAGGCTCAATGAATTAAATCGAGCATTAAGAGATCAAGTAAATAACATGTATCAATTATTTTAAATATTTAATAATGTTGTAGATACATTTATAGAATTATATGAAATTAATTATGATATTTCTAATAAGCATACAGGACTTTCACTATATGGAAGGACACTATTGTAAGATATTGTTAAGAAATTATTTTTATCCTGCACTTTTTTTAATATAAATTTAAGTAGCCTTCTGTTTACAAGTTTTGTTACAAGCTATTTACATAATTTACTTGAATTTATACTCTAATTTTACAATTATCGGTATTATAAACTAAACTACACTTATCTTCTACACTTGCACTTACAATGTTGCTTACTTACTTTATATTTTCTCCTTTATGAGACAGTTAAATTATGTTTTTAGGTGGAACTTTTGACTGCTCAACTTTTAACACCAAGTGATTCTGGAGCTTCTTCAATGCAAACGCAACCATTGAGAAATGAAATAAATCAACGGGAAGTTCTTATAGCTCAATTGATTACACAAAGTAAGTTTTACTGATTATAACTCCCTGAAGGAGAAGTTTGTTATTGCGAAATCTGATATGCTAATTTTATGTACCTCGGCGTTACAAGTCATTCTGAATCAAATAAGACTAAATTTGGAAAAAGAGTATGTGAGTGTGTGTGAATTGATTTTCGATATTTCGTCGACTTTGCTGAAAAACAGCTGGAATGATTTCAAAAATTTAAAAGCCATTCAATGTAACTCGATCAGGATCAGCGTTGGTTGCGTGTGTTGCAGATTTCTTAGTCTAAAATAACATAGTGAATTGTTATAGGCCTACGCAAAAATTGATCCAAGTTTAGAATTGCGCGGGGCTTAAGCGATTCTAGTTAGAATCTATGGCGAGCGTATGTATAATAAGTTCTAAATTAAAAAAAAACTAGTGGGGTGGGTGGCATCGTGCCTTAAGGCAAATTGCTGGAACTTCCCGTACCGTAACGAAATGTTCGAGAAATATTGAATGTTTTCAAATAGATTATTATAAATCTTGTAACATTGTCTAATATTTATAAGAATTATATAAACTGAATTGCAGAGTTGAAATTATTTGTTTAAAGTATATTAGAACTATAGTCAGAATTAAAAATAAAATCTGAATTATTTTCGATATACAAAAAATTAAAAAACAAAAAAAAATGAAACAATTTTTTTTTCCAAAATCAATTATTATGTTAAGACAAGCAGAAAGTTCTTTGAATCAATTGAATCGGACGCTTAGTTCTCTCAAAAACTGCCTTTTTTTGTACATGTAGCTCTGTATCTCCGAAATGGCTGGGCCTGCCTTTGCAAAAAACTAATAACCCCTTCTCCCAATCTTTACTAATTGAATGTTTTTTAGGTCATTCAAATCGGATGCTCCGTTCTCTCAAAAACTCGATTTCTATTTTCTGCACTCCTTGCTCCTTATCTCCGTAACTGCTGGACCTGCCTTTGCCAAAAACTAATCAGGACATCTCCTTATCAATAGGAATTGAATGTTTTTTAAACCATTCAAATCGGTTGATCCGTGCGCCCGAAAACGTGGGCGAAAATTTGTATCCATACATACATACACACACACACTCATCCATTTTTTCTGAAGTATGCCAAAATGTTCAGAAACCTTCAAAACGTCGAGAAATGTAAAAACTTTCAGTTCCGATTTTCGGCCCATTACAATAACTTACCCTACGGGAAGTTAAAAACACGTTTTTAGAACCCAAATTGGAATAAATAAAATGTGTTAAACAAATTAATTAAATTTCATAAACTAAATATATTATAAGTATGTTTAGAAGACATCAATTGGAAATGCTATTGGTTGAAAGCGAAAGTTTTATTTTCGAAATAACAGTTGAACATTTTACCCAAATAGCTGAATCTCAAATCTTGTTGATTAAGTTCACACAATGAACATGCAATTTGCCTTCAGGAAAATTCTACTTACAACTAATTTTTAAAAGTACTTTCAGGTTTTGCTAATGGATGTTCTAAATTTGTTTTATTCCAGATAAAGAATTGGTTGCTGCCAAAGAGCGGCAAGAAATTGAGTTAGCTGCCCAACGTGCCACTTTGCAGGAACAAAGAACCCACATTGATATCTTAGATACAGCATTGACAAATGCGCAAGGCAATGTTGTAAGACTAGAAGAAGAATGCAGGAAGAAACAGATGTATGTTGATAGAGTTGCCCAATTGCAAAGGGCATTATCAAGCCTTCAGTTAGCAAGCGATAGAAGAGAGCAGACTGAACGAAAACTTAGATCGCAGTTAGAAAGTGAACTACGTAAAGATGGTGCTACGGCAGCAGGAGAACATGAATTAAAACGACAAATAAGGGAACGTGATGAGAAAATTATGAGGTATAGATATAGTAGTATTTGATAGATCGTTATTGAATTACACAATGTCTAAATAGTGTTATAAATGTGTTAAAATGAATTAATTTATGTTTTAGGTTGGAAGCTGAGTGTTCAAAATGGGAACAGCGTTATTTGGAAGAGAGTGCTTTGAGGCAAAGTGCTATTGATGCTGCAAGTATACCTAAGTGAGTTTTCTATACACTACACTTTGAAAAATATTCATTCAGTTTTAGAGATGGCATTTTTAAAGATCATATTATTATTTATTTGGAACAATTATCTAATTATTATTGACCTATGCAGGGATGCTAAAATAGCAGCTTTAGAAAAAACATCCCAAGAAACTGAAAAAATTATTGCAGAGGCAAGAAGTGAAAATATAAAACAAATGGATCAAGTACATGCAGCTCAGAAAAGGGTGCATGATTTGGAAACCAGGTCAGTATTTTTAAACAATATGTAAAATTGGCAAACATAGAAATCATTAACAAATCATTTACAAAGGTTTACTAACACTTCATTGGTATTTTTTGTGTTAATAATATATATGATTATATATTTATTTACATTTTTATGTTCAGGACAAAAGATTTAGAATCAAAGTTAGCTGAAAGAGATGCAATGATACGAGTATTGCAAAAACACGTGCAAGCCGGACCAAATTTAGTACAGCATATGACTTCCTATGAACAAGATAAGGCCAACTACTTATCACCTCACCATACTCCGCACGCTAGTTTACATAACGACGAAATTGGTAAATGTTGAACAGAACAATAATAATAGGGTTTACTTTTTTTTCATTTAATTAACATTCTGTTTTTATTGCAGTATCCAGTGTTTTGACAACACATTCTTCAAATTATGGTTCTACAAATTCATATTCATCAGACTCATACAGAGTGCCATCACCCTATCATCACGCAAATCTGGGTGGATATTCAACATATGATGCATCTAGAAGAAGTCTAGATGATCAGCTTAAAGAATTAGATAATCAACTACTAAGCAAGGTAGGAAATAGCATGCGTGAAAATTCTGAAACTTTTTATTGATATTGATTGATTAATAAAAAACACAAATTGTGAATGGGTTTGACATCAGTTTGGTTATATTTTTTAGTTTATTTAATCTATTAACTCATAAATTTTTACTTTTGTATTAATGCATTTGTATTGAGGCAGCAAATAATTTTTCTGCATAATTGGTATTGAACTTTCTTAATTTTGAATTATGTTAAAAAGGCTAAAACATGACTTTGTGTTATATTAGTGTATATTTATTTGAACTCCCAATGCTGAAAGTTTTTGCTGTAAACTGTTGCTACATACTCCATAACAGTTGCTTTTGATGACGTCAATAGATTTCATTTGTATATTTTTTGCATTAATATATATTTATGTACATATTCATTTATATATGCATATACATAGAATAATTTTTCAAAGCTCCTATTTAAGAACTTTGATAGTTCTTGATGTTTTATGATGTGACACAAATACTAATCTCAGTGATTTGAATACGAAAGAGCATAATGCTCATGATAACAGAAAATTTAAATAATTCTAGTGTTGAGTATTATGCCTTTCAAAACAGAGTTATATTTTTGTAAGCTATAATATAAAGATTTTGGTTAGTTCTATAAAAAATAAATATAGTATAATATGTTATAAAATTTAGTTTTAATAATCAATAATTTGTGCTATATTTTTATAATGTAATCGTGGGAAATATGGCTTTAGTACAATGAATTATGTCCTCTATATATTACTTTATGTGATTTTTTTTTTATTTATCACAAATATAATACAAAAATTTTGATTGGCGCAATTATAATTTACTATTTAGAAATATAATTGCAGATGCGTGAAAGTAAATTGTAAATATTTTATGTATATAAGTTAATATTTTTTTTGGGTTTATTAAATTATTTGTGATAGATATATGTACTATTTACCGCCATTATGAAAAATAAACTAGAAACCAAACAGTCGAAATATATAATATTTTGCTTTATATTTATATAAAGTTGTTAATTTTATTTAATCACATATTTTATTATTTATGCCTGATTGTTTCAATACTAAATTTGTATTAAATCATTTTTTACTTGATTTGCTTTTGTTTATGTTTTTAATACATTTTTGTTTGTATTATATATTACAGTCAATAAATGACATAATTGAAATTGAGAATGTTATTTCTAAATGGCATGTGCATTCATTGTTGAATAAAAAATGTTTTTTTTTAAGATTGTTGCTTTTTGCTTAAATATGTTCTTAAGTATCCTATATTAATATAAATGTGTGAAAACAATCTAATCCAAAATAAACCCTAAACATAAATTTGAGTGCCTAATTGATCTGTTTTAATTTTACTAAATTGATTAAATTCTTTTATATAAATATAATAAAATGAAACTGGTTGATTTATTACATAAATGCTTTATTATCCAAATATGTATTAATAAATAAAATACAATATTTGGATTTTTTCATTAATATAAGAACTTGTTTTTTTGCTTCACATTTCTAAATATTCTGAATAATCAATCACTTTTGGTTTTAGTAACCTTTTTTGTAGAATTAGAAATATTTTTACTTCTCTGTGTGTTTAATAAAATGATTTGAAGCACGGTCCTTTGTGATTTTTTTTCACCAAGTGCGTTAAACAACATAGCTTGCGCGTTTTAAAGTACACATCGCACAAAGAACAAAAGGGCTTTGTTTCTTTCATTTCAGCGGGGCCTTTGCTGTTTTCCAGGATTCTCTAATTCAAGCACTACGCCGAGAAAGGGAAAAATATCCAAACCATTATTACCTGTCGTGAGAACTACTGGCTCGGTTTCAGATTCGGGGCGGTACGGGTCTACGACGCTGATAGCCGCTTATGAGGCAGCGAGGTACGACAGTGAAAGGCCAGAAGAGATAATGCTACTTGAAAAACAAGGGAGGAGTTCGCAACAACAACGGATGACCGCAGATGAGACCAGCTCTGAAAATTCGATAGAGAATTGTGATCGTTCGAGGTCTGGCAGTTTGCCGCCCAGTTCTTTGCCGCGTCCGCCTAGAATAACCAGGCAGCAGCAACAAACACCACCGAGGCGGACAGGAGAGTACGGAAGATTCGGGGACAAAGAGCAAAATAACCAAACAGAACACAGGCAGCAGCGCTCGCTTGCATCACCCCCCAGACGATGTTTGTATGGACGTCTGCCTGATGCATCTACCACTCCTCCTCCTCAGGAAACTCCTCGTTTGCGCCGGGGGCTGCAAAGGTTTTGTGTAGGCGGCAATGGTGGACAAACTGAACCTTATAGATGCAAGACTCCTCGGGATTCTGGTTCTACTATAAGCGATCACTCTGCTTCGTCACTGCCGCCCTCGTCTTCGCGTTCCGGCACGCTCAAGCAATCGCCGCCTCGTAGAAGCGGTTCTTTAACTCGCGAACCTGGGATAACTTCAAAGTTTCGTTTGCAATTTTAATATTGATGTCGCAAAATCATCTAATTGGCATTTTATTCACTTGTATAAATAAAAAGATAAATTTATATACGTATGGTCGCTGTCTGATTCCTTTATTGCATTTCCAAGATTAATGTAGACTAAGAATTCGGCATGCGATGATCCGCATAATCTTACAGTTGCATTGTTTACTTAAATTTAATTAATAATTTTAGTGCAATATATTCTATGAAATCAGTTAAAAATTCATATTCGCAAAAATATATGTTTTCATTTGATGATAAATAGAACAAGAGGCTCGAATTTACATAAGAGTGTATAGATATTGATCTTATAGAATGTTTTTTGACTAGTGTTTCTTTTAGATCATCATAGATTGGCTTTTGATGTCTTTATTACAAAATAAACGATCATAAGCCGCGCATGCACAAAACAAGCAAAAAATATCTTTTAAATCCATATTTTTGGTATTGATCAAATATTAAATGTGCTTTCTGTGAATGTATATACCAATGTGTGGTGAAGACTTATATGTTTTATATATCATAATATTTGTTAATATTTTCATATTTTAGATTCTTAGAAAATATTTTTTATTAATATTGTTATTAAAGTTTTACTTTAAATTGCGAAATTTTTATATATGTAATTCAATATGTTTAATAATAAATATCTTCTCCCAGTCATTTATACCTTTGTTTGAACTAATTATTAAACAACAAAAATTTTATATCAAATTGGGAAGCTTACAGTAATATTATTATATGTAAAAGTATCATTTGTGCCAATGATGAATTCTATTATAAATAAAACATGTTATGATATAAATTGTTTTTATCTAGGTCCTTTTGTTAACCAGTCTTATTTTAAGTTTATCATGATTAATGACTAAACATAATGAAGATTTAAATAAATATACTCATTTACCATTATATATGATAATATGACTAGTGCTTATTATCGTTTAGTAATTATATATTGTGTATAATGCTAAAACTGCTTTTCAAAAGATTTAATTAAAAATAATAATAATGTGCTGAGTGCGCTACTGTGTTTTTTATATTTGGCATACTGTATTTTGATTTTTCTCTGTTGCAACCTTGCATTTGACATTTTAGTATTTGACAGTTGAAGTTGAGACTGACACTCCGAGATTAAGATACACTGACACTGACATCTGCTTCTTTGGAAATTGTGTTATAGCTGGATTTATTTAAATTCATATAGTAAATCACTGTAAGTATTTTTTAAATTAATTATTCTAAATGAAATTTCTAATTATTTATTCAAATTTATATATTAATACATTTAACTTCATTTATTATTTATTATATCACTATCTTACGTAACCTAAAATAACCCTAAAATTTAACATTTATATTAATTACTTTTTTTAAGATATAGCAATGGCACTCGCAGGACGTACCTTGAGACTTTTGGCAGCTAACAAGAATGTATTAACTGCATTCCAAAGAAGAAATTATTCTGATGAATTATCTTTGACATTTGCTGCTGCCAATAAGGTAAACTTCATTGATGGAAAATTGAAATATTTATCTTTATGTGATAATGAATAAATTTGTAATTGTAGGTATTCTATGACTCAGTAGATGTAAAGCAGGTGGATGTTCCATCTTTCAGTGGTGCTTTTGGTATCTTAGCTAAACACGTACCTACCTTGGGTAAATTAAATTTTTATCTTTGTTAAAGATTATTTCAGTATAATTAAATCCAATAAACATGTGAAGTTTTTGTTCACATATTCACAATAATTGTTTTGGTTTGGACAAGTTATATTCTTTCTCTACATAGTAATTCCAATCCAAACATCTTTAACACACATAGTAATATATTTTGCTGAGCTTATTTTTTAGTTGATTTTTTTTTTCATGTAATTTATTATCTCACTCAGTCAGTCTCATTTACTACTTTAGTTCAGTTAATAATTTAAAACAATATTATTTTTAGCTGTTCTCAAACCTGGTGTTGTAACTGTTTACGAAAAAGATGGTAACACAAAGAAAATATTTGTTTCAAGTGGTACCGTAACAATTAATGAAGACTCTACTGTTCAGGTACACAAATCAGAACCAAGATCAACTGTGTAATAATGCAATATACATAAAAACATACATATTTTATTATTCTTCTCAGGTTTTAGCAGAAGAAGCTCATCCAGTTGAAGACTTAGACCCATCATCCATCAGGGAATTACTTACCACATCCCAAAGCCAGCTCGCACAAGCTAGTGGAGATCAAGTAAGTAATAAATATGCTTAATATAATCTGCTTCGTTAATATTCAATCTATTGTTTCATTTTTAGGCCAAAGCAGAGGCTGCAATTGCTGTTGAAGTAGCAGAGGCTTTGAATGCTGCAGTTCATTAAAATTAATACACGATTAATTGAATCTAATTGAAGAAAGTAATAAGAACTGCCATGTATCATCTTGTGCTTGATAAAATAACAAAAAATAAGTCAGATATTAGAAAAATAAAATCTTATATGTATAAGGCGTTTTAATAAATTGAAGTAAATTTAACATACATTTATTTCATGAAATTTGGTACAATACAGATATTTAAATGAAGATACTAAAGGAGTATTGTCTTATGAAGTATTGAGTATGTGTTGCGGATGAGGTCTGCTACATGACAAATGCTTTTGTGCTACTTCTAATTACCACCAACCTATAAATTTGTAAGATATTTATATGAATAATTTAATTTTTTTTAATATATACTGACATATTTATAGATAAAATTATTCATAATTATAAATTTATCATTTTATTTAAGACATACATTGTTTTTAAATTAAATATTTCGAACAATTTGATTTTTTCAATTTTATATTGGCGTAAATTTGGTGTCAAAAACTATTTTTTTTTTAAATTATGCGCCAAAATAATTTTTATTTATTTTGCAGTTGTACAACATGTAATGGTTACCACACCACCACGAAGTTGAACCATTTATTTCTTCAGTTGAACTGCTTGACAGTCAGTTCAGTTGCAAATGTCAGATTTATTTTTATTTTTCTCTTTTAATCTGTTTTGGAAATGTTGTTTGTAAATTTGTCAGATATAATTTATTAATTTCTGTGCTATAAAGTATAATTAATCAGTGACATTGGATGACAACTAAAATTGGGTATGTTATTTTACATTTATTTAATCTTTCGTACGACGAACAAATTTTGCCATCATTTCTACTAAAATTCTGAATATTGTTTTGTTGCATGTTCAGATTGTCTTAATATTTATGTAGATCAATGATGAATAATCAGTAGTGTATGTTTTTTAAATGATTATTAATATATAAGACCTTATTCGTTGAAAATTTGAAGTGTATAGTCTTGTTCACGCATGTAGCGAAAAGTTAATTTAATTCAACAATATTACAATTATTTTTGGAATATTAAGGAAATTAATGTTTTATTTGAAAATTGACTCAAAGAACTATTCCAAAATAACTCTCATTCTTTATGTTATGTCTCACAATTTCATTTTATTAAAAAACAATCGGTATAGAACCGGTCCTGGGGTTCACAGCGCCCGCCAGCCATTTTTTTTCTAGCGCCCTATTATTTTAACTGTTTTACCAGTACAGATGAAAATTATAATAATCTTAAAGCACATTGATTTTAAATTTATTTAGAAGACCAATGCAATTCGCAGGTTGCCTACAATCCCGCTGCCAAACTATTTTTAAGTTCATATTTTCAATCCAAACTTTCATCCAAAATTTGAGTATGTTCATTATTGCTTGCAAGGATATTTTTAAATGTTCAATCACTTATGTGTAATATGTGTAATATTAATATTAGGGTTTTGAAACATTTTACTTATTTATTTTGGAAATTTTATGCGATTTATACTATTCAGCAAATCACGTCAGGAGAATAAAAAAAATCTAGCCTTTCATTATTAAACATAACACTAGTTTTTCATTATTTTAATTAACTTCTCGTAGAGTAAGAAGTTATAGTAATCGCAAAAAATAAAAAATGAAATTTTTTATACATTCTTACGTTTCAAAGGTTTTTGAACATTTTGGCATACCTTAGGAAAAATGTATGTATGCGTATGCGTATATACATATTTTAGTCGACGATTTTGGGAACACCGATCAACCTATTTGAATAATTCAAAAAACATTCGATTCGTATTGATAAGGAGACGTGCTGATTAGTTTTTATCGAAGGCAGGTCTAGCCGTTCCGAAGATACAGGGCAAGAAGTGTCAAAAACGGTAACTCAGTTTTTAAGAGAACGCATGATTTTAATAATTCAAAAAGCATTTTACTTGTATTGACTGATTAAATTTTGGGAAGGCAGGTCCAGCGGTTGTGGACTCTCAATAAAAATAAGGTAAAAAATGTCATTTGGCGGTCAAAAATGTTTATTGGACGTATGTGCATCAAATTATCAGATATTTTATAGAGATTTTAATAATGTGTACACGTTTTGTGTAAATCTTTTTGAGTTCCGTACTAAGAATTTTAATTACGGTACGGGAAGTTTCAGCAATTTGCCTTAAGGCACGATGCCATGCATCCCACTAGTTTATTTTTTTATTATTTAAAATATCTAAAATTGCATCGTAAACTTCTCCTAATTTATATCGTAAGGGCCGAATTGTATGTATTCATCTTTACATTCCCTTAGTGTAGGAGATTGTTGTTCTAAAGTTAAATGTGTTTTAAAAGTTGTCCAAAGATTTGTAGAAGATGCAAAGAAATTATATATTTCTTGAAAGGTATTGAAAAAAAAACTATATTATAAATTTTATATACGAATCTAGTGTTGGTGCCCCCTAAGGCTTGCGCCCGCAGTTTTCGAATGCAATCAAGAAAAAGGTATATCTATATATATATATATATATATATATATATATATATATAAGTTAGTTGACTTTCTACAAAGTAAAGTACCTTACAAGTTTTTAACTTACCACCATTTCTGTAACCATATCCTTTTCCATAATAACCATATCCACCATAACTTGGGTAACTGCTGTACCTAATTACTGGTCCTGTATATATAATAATTAATATTAGTAACCAATTGTCATTAAGTTTTTGCCCAAAAAAATATAATTATTTATTTGAATTACCGGAACTCCAGCCTCCATAGCCGCCATATCCACTTCCATATCCCCCATATCCACCGTATCCACCATAACTACCATATCCGCCATATCCTGAATCGAAAAAGAAAGATTAATATTTAGAGAATATATTATGAAAAATTAAATGATTTATCATACTTGCTATATTATGTATATATTTTAATGTCAATATACCTCCATAACCACTACCGCCGTACCAGCCGTTGCTTATATATCCAGCACTCGCCAAAGCAATCAAACCCAGCAAACAGATGATCACCTGGGAATGTTGATAATTGAATTAATATTATTTGAAATCTGAGTTTTGGTTCGGAGCAATTCTTTTTATTTACAAAATAATTATTACATCTATGCAGAAAGGACGTAATGTAGATCTATTGACTATATAAATCTATAAATAGGGAAAGCATATATGTATGCTTTTTAGGAGGAGTAAATCTTAATAATGTGGTACATACTATTAAAAAGAAAAGAGGGTACCGGATTACTGCAAAGTTCGGAAAAAGTCATAATTTTTAATATAAGTTTGGAAATTTTCAAAAAATTAGTCAAGTGCTTCAGTCGTCAGGGTGTCGGATTATTGGAGGTTTCGGTCAGCAGTTTGTTTTTAACTTCACGAAGGAAATTATTATATTTCCACTATATTTGTTAATTTTAAGATTAACAATCGACATTTCAAGTCGTTGAATCGTTTCACACCAATTTTGAAATTTGAAAAAATATTTGTATTTGCCAATATTTGACCTTACGTCGTCGTTTTTTCTAAAACGGCTGAACCAATTTGAATTCAGAATTAGTTCTTTTAGAGTCATCAGAAAAGTGTACAATTTTTAATCAACGTCTTTACAAAAAATCCTGAAACGATTTTGAAAATTTAAAATTGATATGTTTTGGAAATAGTTGCTGATTAAAAAGATCACCTGGGCAGTTTCTTGCAATCAGTTCTCGAATTTTTTGACGATTTTGATGAAACATTTTGTGATGATAGAGTTTATTGTCTAACTAAAGGAACATCCTAAAATATAATAGGCAAGCGAAAATTAATTTAATTAAAAAAATCATTTAAGCTTGGACAGTGTACATTGCGTTCTATGACTTCTATGTGTTTGATACTGATCAACGTTGATCAAAATACATTTTTAAAAGATGAAGTAGAATGTAAAGTGTTAAATAAATTAAATTTCATTGATTATAGTGAAGTGAAAACTTTATTTAATACAAATGAAAAGTGAAAGCTTTATTTTCAAAATTAACAGTTTATCGTTACAATTTAAAAGGTTGCTAAATTTGTTACTGATTGTTACTGATAAAGTAAATTATTCACATGTATCGGAAAGTTTATTCAACTTGCCTCAAGGCAAAATACCACATACACCTAGTTTATTTATTGCTTTGCACAATTAGCATTTTACTAAATTTCATATGAAATGTATTTTATTTTGTTTTATCCAAATCCAGAGCATGTGGATGTGCAAGAATTCGGTCCAAATTGGGAATATGCACTATTATAATTTCACAGACAAAAAAGAATAGTCATTTTTAATCGTTTAAAATCACGAATCGCACGGTTTGATATACACTTATAACGACTCAATAAAAACAATCATATAAATCATATAAAATTCCTACCTTCATTTTGAATTTTTGTTAAAAACGATTTCTCCACTATGGTAAATTTTGCACTATATCAACAATTGATTATTCGCGGCTTATATACGTTTTAAGTAAACAATATCGGTCTGGAAGGGGGCACATTATGAGATGCCTCGGTCATGTAACGATGTCTACAATTTATATTTCTTAAAACAAGTTTAAATTGAACAAAACCAATAAAAAAGTAATAATATGTCAAGGGTGAGGGGCATCCGGCATCTGGAGCACTTTTACAAATTACGTAAAATGCTTTTTGCTTTTGAGCTTAAATTACCAGGATTTCAATGATCATATGCAATATTATTATATCAAGTCCGAGTTGGAAATATTGCATTGTTTAAATTATGTTTATTGTTAACGTTAAAGATATGGTTGATAACAAACTGTATAATGCGTAAAAGTTGCAAAACATGATATTATTTTGTAAGTGTTAGATATGTATAATTGAATCTTGAAAATGGATTTATAAAGTGATTTGTGTCACAAATCTAAGTAATGTTTCAAATTTATGATATGATTTTTGTTATGAAATATAACGCAGCTAATTAAATTTATGTATGTACACGGAGAATGCTTTTGAACGAGCTTTTGGTCAAGTTGCATAAATGAATTTGTGTAATCATACCATTCATTCCATTCAAAAAATATTAAAAAGTTTATGAATTAAGGTTACTTTATTAACTTCACTTGGAATAAGGACATATTAAATATTCTTGAAAAGCAT